CTCCTCTCTCAGCTATACCACCTGTGTGATGTCTTTTGCAAGGGGATTGTCCCATGAGTCCCTTTCTTGTCTGTTAGCGACCTTTGAACCTCCCACTTACCCAAATGTTACCTCACCCTCAGCAGCATGTTGTGACAGTAAACCAGCCTCAGAAATGCTCCAGCATGTCCTGTGTGCTGATATCACTGACCACACAACTGCTTCTGTCCACAGAACACAGATGATGCACGTGGAAGGAAACACATTTGGTTAATGTCTGAAGTTCATAGTTTAACTTTATGATGCTTAATGTACAGAATATGAACAACTATACCTAATAACCAGGGATGTAGCAGTACATGTTTTTTCATCCCAGACTGTTCTGTCCAGGATGTTTGGTTCCCTATGCTATGCTACGCCCTGATGAATAAGCCTGATACGCTCTCATTAATCTAATTAATTAAGTACATCTTAGCATGTGCAAAATAAAAATGTAAAGTGCAAAGTTTTGACCGTACACCGTAAATAAAGATAGACGTAGCCACTGTGACGTCACCCGCACGTTTCTAAAGAGAGGTTTTGAAGCTCAGAGTGAGCTGCTCCACCGTCACCATCTTGGCAGTGAACTGACTATAGATAAGATAAACATCTTCAGTAAAAATCAATGTGCATGGAGCTGAGAGATGGACAAATGTATCGTTTTAGTTTTTATAATGAGAGTTGGTGACAATTTGAACAAAATAGAACAACCCCTGATTTATTCCAAATACAGTTTTCAATATAAACAGAAGCCGCTCATGTTCTATATCATTTCATTAAAGCAGACCACTTAAGACAATGAGTAGTTTAGTCTTTTAATACAGTTGGAACATTACAAGCACACTGGCATCTTTTTTTCTTATTGACCATGTTGATGTTTAAGGTTAATAACTTTACAGCAAGAATTATTGCTAATGAGATACACAGCCCTTCTTATGATGTCATCCACTTGCAGCATGTCATTACTACATTTCCACTGATTTGAGATTGATGATCAACGGTGTCTGACAACCTGTGATTTTTGAAGCTCACAGTCTATGATGGTGTATTCTGATGGTTATGACTCAGCCAGTCAGCTATGTCTTTCCCATGTGACACCTTTCAGTCAGGCATTCTCCAGGCCAGACTCAGGTATTTAACATAATGGACCCAGAGGTGCTCTGGGAAGGATGGTCAGATCAGAACATTGTGCCGCGGCTCACTAACAGATACAGTCATTCTGACAGATTATACGCTTACACCTCCATCCTGTAATCACACGCGGCCCATAAAAGCCAGTGACCTACCAATTTGAGAATCCCTGCTGTTTTGCACTGTGCACCAGCTCATCGCATGGTGCTATTACTGGCTTTAAGATCCCCGCACAGATGTCAGGTCCATTTTATGGAAGCCCAGCTTTTATTTTCCTCTCACATTTGGTTGTTTGTTACCTTTTTTTTAAAGCAAGAAAAAAAAAAAACAGTGTTAGATTGTAATCTTGTTGTTTGAAGGATTTCAGGGGCCGGGGTTATGAATTGATGATCTCTTTTCAGTTGGAGTGGTAGTGCTGTGATGGAGACATCATTATTTAGTTATGAATGAACAGGCTCGCATCCCTTTGGCTTGAATGAGTTTCTTTTTGTGTGGCATGTGCTAAGCTCCTTGGTTTTAGTGGTAAGGGGAAAATGAGGGGTCACTACCCCACACAGACACAAACTCAGCCTCATCACAGACTCCCCATTGGCCCGGGCTTAGTCATGAGATCCTGGCAATGAGAGAGCTCTCACCCAATAAGGCGTCCTGTGGGGAAAGCCCTGGTCCAATAAGAAGGACCCCTGGGGTAAGGCTTGGGGATTACCAGCCCGAGTCTGCGGATTGAGCTCCAGGGCGAGGGAGGGGGCACGAGTCGAAGCACAGGGCTGCTCTGTCGCCAAGGCCAGCGGACTCCTTTAAATGGTTGCTACGGGGCAGGTATCAAACGTGCGAGAGTCGCACAGAGTCACGGTCATGGAGGGTATTAAATGGCAACAAAGAGACAGTTATTCTGCAATAATCCGCCCTGCTGAGTGCAAGTTATTCTCCAATAATCAAGAGGCGAGGAGCAAGCGGCACAGAGCTGTGATCACAAGAGCATGGTGCTGCATGCAGCTGCACACACACACACACACACACACACACACACACAGGGCACACCACTTCAACCCAGACAAACTTTATTTATCACTTGTCCATGCACACAATTTATGTGTCCAGAGTCCCACACAATCCAGACTCAGTGACACAGACAAAACTCCAGTGTCGATTTCAAGTGAACAAATTTATGTTGAAGATGGAAAATATAAGTTGAGATGCTGTAACTAAAAAACAATCATACAGCAATGATGAAGATAATAACATGACAAAATGATACTTCTCTTGGCATGTTAAATGATATGTATACGATAGTTTCATTTGTATTTTCATATATTTGTGCGCCGGAACAGGTGGAAGCATGTGATGCTAACAGGTGTGGGTTAGTATATGATTACTGTGACATGATGTGAATTTGTATCAATGTGGTAGTTACTTGTGAATTATTAGACAAAAACAAACATTTCCATTTTATCTGAAAACAGATTCCCATTTGATTTTCCAGAAAATGTGCAATATAACACTGAATAGATAGCAGGGTATAAAACAGCAGTGTGATAGAGAATTAAATCCATATTGGTCAGTCCCACATGAATGTTTGTTCTAATTAATATGTGCTGATTAATTCACTTGATTAAGTGACACTTCACACAAGGGGTTTCAAACTATAACATGAGTTGTGTTTATACTTCACACAAGGGGTCAATGGGAGTTCCACAGTAGCAACCTTCATTTACCACAATACTGGAAGGCTGATCTGATGCAGGTTTTCATTGGGTGTTGTCTTCTGTCAGGGTTGTGTTTGTCACTGGTTCTCTTTATGATTTTCACGGACAGGCCTCAAGTCAGTGCTGGGGGTTGGAGAGTGTCCAGTTTGGAGACCTTGGAGAGTTGTTTCTCTGCTGGTTAGGTTTAGGCTCAAAAACTACTTGGTTAGGGTTAGGAATTGACCGTGGTGTGGGGTAAAATAACTACTTCCTCAACATTAGACAATGTTTGTTGTCATGGTTACAATAATAACAACATGGTTAACTTTGTTGAACGGTCATGGCCAATAGAAACAACATAAACTGCTACTTTCAGGTGGGAATGGAACAGCGCTCTCGTGTGTCATATTCATCCATCCACCACAACCTCCTCCTGACGTGGACTTTGTCTCTCTTTATACTACGTCACCGCACTTTTCCCTTTGCTCCTGTCATCATTACTACCACCACTAGATGTTGCCTAGCAACAAAACGGCTATTCAAACAAGTGAATATTATCCCTTTTACACCCAAGCACACCCAGCTTCTTGAAAAGTTTCCCTAAATTATGGTAACATCCCATCGTGTATGTTTTATTTTTTTTTTTTTGCAGAAATGTCTCAAATCACAGATTATTTTAAAAAGAGAGTTCGTGAGGAGAAGAATCTCGAGGACAGATGAAACAGTGCAGTCATCATTAGTTCTTCTAATATGGGAAAAAATGTTAATTCATGTTACTGACGAGATACGGTTCATGTGTCAGGGCTAAATGTAGGCTTAGTTAATACCACCACCGCCAGGAACAACCCTGTAATCTGGGTGTTGTACCGGACCATTGTGGTGAAGAACGGTAAATTGGTTTATCAGTTTTGGTGGTCACGAGCTTTGGGTAGTGATGAGTGAATGAGTGGAGGAAATGAGTTTCCTTTGTAAGGTGGCTGGATTCACCCTTGTAAACGGGCTGAGGAGCTCAGTCGCTGCTCTTTCAAGGGGAAAGGAACCAGTTGAGGTAGTTTGGGCACCTGATCAGGATGCTTCCTGGGCACCTCCATTCTGAGGTTTTCCAGGCATGTCCAAGTGCTAGGAGACCCCAGGGTAGACCCAGAACACACAGGAGAGATTATATACTGTATCTTATCTGACATGGACCTAGGGGTGGTGCAGCAGGAGCTGGAGAACACTGCTGGGGCGAGGGACGTCTGAGCGACCTTGCTCAGTCTGCTGCCACTGCAACCCAACGCCGTGTTGCAGCGGGATTGGTTTCATATCACAATTTAATTGTATTACCCAAATTAACATGTGGGCATTCTTTGTAGTTAGTGTAACAAAAAGAGCAAGGTCAGCCATATGTCAGTATTGGACTGTTCTGTTCAGTTGCCATACTCATGTTTTTTTCATTCACTGTGACAGAGAGCAGGACACACAGGGAGTCTGTCAGTCATCATGTCAGGGCCATAAAACCCTCAGCAGTCGATCATTTTACCTCATGCTTGTTTGTTCTATCACCCACAACCAGCCTCACCAATTAAATTGTTAAGATGTTTAGGTTTAGCTTAGAGATATTCAACAGGTGGGGCAAATATACTGAAGAAAGTGAAATGAATTTTAAATAAAGCCTGAATAATAAGTTGGAATGAAATACAATTTAGAAATAATAAACATTTTGCTTTATGTGATTGAATTTGATAGATTGATTTCTATAGATATATATTTCACCACTTATTTAGTTCACTGTCCAAGACGCTCCCATGAGAGATTAATTGTCACACACCTGGGCGCACAAGATGCGTGGAGCATTATCTGTTCAAGATCGTGGTTGTAAGAACTGTTTAAAATACTTGTGATGAAGGTCTAGAGCGATCAAAGCGTTAGGATGATCAATAAATTGTGATGCTGAGCAAGAGCAGGGTGAGGGATCCTCTTCTTTTCAAGACTGAAGTGACACTTTCCAAAACATCTGGACCGAAGACATTTGGATGTGCAAATATCTTCATCGAGAAAACTGTTCATTTATGAAAATAATTTTGTCACATTTATTCTTTTGTTCTCAACATTTCATATGTGATGAGTTTTTTGGACAATGATAACACAAACTTCTCTTCTCCTCTCTTCTCATCTTCTCATCAGGTTGGAGTGTGTGAGCAGTCTGGGCTCAGAGTTTCGCCGCGGGGCCGGTGTGTTGGACATGGTGTTTGAGTCTCCATTCCAGCTCTTCACCTGCGGCTACGATACCTTCATTCGACTGTGGGACCTCAGACTCAGCCCACGGTACGCCACCGCCTCCCTACAGTCAGTGCTCTGTAGGATTTTATCATGCGGCCATTAGTACACGTTACTTTCTGTAAGTGTGCAGCAATTAATCTATTTTAACCATTGCTCCAAATACTCTGTCAGTTAATGTTGGATCTTTTGGTTAAATAGTGACACCTAGAGTGCTTCAGAGTTTTACCACTTCTTGAGACCAGCTGTAGTCACCTTTGAGGACACAGTCTTCCCCCTGGGGTGTACATCAGACAGATAAAGACTTACACACTGCGTTTTTTTCAGATTTTCTGAAGAACAATGTAAACAGGTATAAATATCATAAAGGTCCATAAAGTATGAAGGTAGATATTCGTATGTTCTTTGATTATAGATCAGGTCTAGGTTCTATATTAATACTGTGAAAGTATCAAAGCCTCAGTCCACAGAGAAATGCACACAGCCTGTATTCAGAAACTGAGCCTTAAAACCAGCCGTCAGGACTTCTGGAACTTTGTGATGTCACAACAAAGCAGCCACCGTTCTCAGCCATGCCCCAAGCCCCGCTCACCTGGACCCACCATCCAACCTTTCAGGATTTGGTTTCCCTGAGTGTTTTACCTGAAAACAGTCAGCCAATCAGATGAGAGGCTCAGAGCCTCCTCTCTTCTGATTGGCTCACCGACCTGTTGTTACTTAGAGCGCCAGTGTTTCGGTTTTTCGGCTGCACGCAAGGGTTTACGGCACCCAGCATGTGTCAGGTACAGTGTCTAGTGCTGGCGGTACAAACAGCACAGCTGCTGGTCACTTCATATGAACATTTGAAGAACAAATCAGTGCAGATTACAACAATAAAAATCTCACCACCGGGTCTGAATAAGCGGAGACATCAGTAATGAATGTGAAACGACACATGGAGTTGAAGCATCTGACCAGTCTGAACTGAATCTGACTAAATAATGATCACAGAAATCATGAAGAAAGGGTCAGACCATGAACCTACAGCTGCAAAGTTCCTCCACCTGAGTCAAACTCACAGAATACACATAAAGCATATACTCATATTGGTTTTTCTTATCTTTTAAAAGTAATCTCTGTCTAGTAATTCATGTAGTTTGAGAAGTGGCAGTGATTTGAGGCTGAGGATGGATGGATGGAGGAGGATCCACTTAAAATGAAGTGTAAAAAAAAAAAGTAGTTCATTTTTTTTGGACTGTGAACTTAGTTCACATTCCAGATTGTGAAATATGGCCTGCTGAGGTGGTTTGGGCATCTGATCAGAATGCCTCCTGGGCACCTCCATACTGTCACATGACCATGATGCTGTGGTGTCCAAAACATCTTCCAGCCCTCTCTCACCACAGCCAGGACACCTGCTTCAGTGCACCTCTGCTCTGCCACCGAAAGAATGTTCATGTCAGACGCTGAATCCAAAGAGGAAGCCCGGATAGCAGCAGATAGTGTTATGCTGCGTAGTATTTTTCAGCTGTGTTTTAGTTGTTTCAGTTGAAGTGTACCATGTTCTGCTGTTATGTGCAGTGTGTAAAGTGTATGAACCCTGTGTCAAACAAAATGTGTATGAACCCTGTCTGTAGTTCCCTCAGTATTGTCTTTGTGGTGTAAACTCTTTTCTCTCCAGCAGTGTGAGCACAGGGACCTGACCAGCAGCTCTCTGTGGTGTCGATATTAATGCAGCAGCCCTCACTCCAGTATATGCCGACAGGGTCCCCAACATGATTGGGGAGGGCAGCATTTATTTAGGACAGCAGGGGTTGGTGGGGTTTTGGGCTGTATTTCAGGGGGATCAGTCAAGTAAGACAAATCAGATGTGATTGGCAGATCGCTCTTGGGACTTTGAAAAGGGTTGGGTTGGGGTGAAGGTTGGCAGAGGGGGGTCCCTCTTTAGATATCAATAATTCATATGGTCAAACCTAACCAACCTCAAAAGGCTCCCAGGGTCATCCAGGAGGTTCAGGTTGTCTGGAGGTGGGGCTCACCGCCAAAGACAAATGCACTGTAATAGACAAAAAAGAAATGCAGATTCTGTGTGGTCCCATGGTGCTGAACAGATCTAATGATCAGTTTGATTATAAAGTCTTTGTCTTTTCAATATGAACAGTCGGAGTGGGTGATATAGTGAAATCCGCTTTCTTAATACATGTCATTTTATATCAGGATTTTAGTCTAATTTACTATGTAGTTGTGATAAAGCTAATGAAAACTCTATTGAGAAAATGTTAGAATTATTGATTCAATATTCTCATTTATTGACTGTCAGCTGAATTGCACTGTGACTCTATGAAGTTATGTCCGAACAAATGCTTCCAACTGAGCTTCGCCTCATGTATTGCATTGCAGTGCCACACAGTTTAATTATCATAGTTATATCAGAAAATATCCTCATTAATATCATGAATCGTGAGCATGTGCATATGCATGTGCGTGTGTATGTGTGTCCCTAGGAGGCTGGGTGGAGGTGGCTGTGGTTAAGGGTGAGGGGAAGTATTTTGGGGATAAGTATTTTCTGCCAATAGACATCGATCCTCCATTAGAGCAGCCTCATCAATAAGTGATGGAGAGACACCAGGGGCAGACAGTGGGGCAGCAGAGATGTCTGGAGGCTCTCTCTCTCCCTCTCACTCTCTCTCTCTCCCACACATACACACACAAATAATACATACAAATGTACACTCTAAATTTAGCAAGCTTTTATGGGGGAGGTCAGTCATTGTCATTGCATCCTGGAAGTGAAAAATACAAACACAGTACAAAGCCACAAAAGTCCTTGCTATACAGTTCACCAATTTACACACACACACACACACACACACAGACATCTCCTTGTTCACCCTTGTTATAGGGCAGTCCTGTGTGTGTCTCCAAACACACACAGGTGTAATCTCTCCTGAACTGTTTCAGTTCAGATTCAACATCCAGCAGTCAGACATTATTGTTCCTGCTGCAGCAAAAAACAAACAACAACATCATGTTTATCTCGGCACGTGTGTAAACTCTCCCACCCTTCCCAACAGGAAGTGTGCGATGGAGTGGGAGGAGCCTCATGACAGCGCTCTGTACTGCATCCAGACGGACGGAAATCACATGATCGCCAGCGGCTCCTCGTACTACGGTGTTGTACGACTCTGGGACAAACGGCAGACTGAATGCCTGCAGGTACACACTGATATGTACAGTGTGAGTCAGGTAGAGTGCTTCACATGTGGAGCAATAATGTAATGACGTTATAATGTGATTTTATGTTTTGTTTGTTGTGCAGTTCTTCCAGCTGAGCTCAGACCCGGTGAGCAGCCCGGTGTACTGCCTGAGGTTCAGCAGCACTCGCCTGTACGCAGCCCTGGCCACCGCCCTGCACTCACTGGACTTCAGACAGAACCCCGTCTATATCAGATGATACACACACACACACACACAAACACACACACACACACACAGCTCAAATTTATCAGTTTAATAAAGGTGTCTATTTTCACAATAAAAGTTTTCACATTTTAAAAGGAACTGATGTTGCTTCGTTTTGTTCGCTGCTTTGGGTTTGGAAGAACTGAAACTTTGTGTTTAAAGGGGCAATACCCCATAAAGTTGTAGGACACATAAGAGAAAGGAGAACAATCAAAATCAAAGCAGCAGAGGCAGAGAGATCCTGATTTCTGGTCCCTGGTGTCTGGATCCTACATTTCCCATGTGCAACTGGATAGCATCTTCCAGTGGCCCATGTCTTTTGAAATACTTTTTGTAACACAGACTTCCTGTTATAAAATAACCCTGATGACATCACTATGACATCAGCAGCAGCAAAATATGAAGATTCAGGGCTGCGGTTGAAAAAGTTTTTTTTTCTTATGAAGGTTGAAACTGATGAAATGAGCTGAAGTCTCTGAGCAGCACCATGATCACAGCTGCTCCACTTCTCTACATGAGGAGGAAAGGCGCTTCAGTGCTTCCTATCTTATCTCCTTTAGCAGAGGAAACACTGGACCTTCCTTTAGGAAAGGAGAGGAGAAAATGTCATCCCACAAAAACGATGTAGGATCAAGTTTGTTGTACAATGTGAGGATGCAAAAGCTCTGTGCAATATATTTCATTATTTTCAATACTTCTTTTTTGTTTTAGTGTGAATGCTATTACTTATTGTTCTGTTTGCACATTATGTAAATATCTTTACAAATGCAAGTACTTATAATGTACATACCTTCTTATATATGGTTGATTTGTTATTTTTCTACTTTTTACCATTATTACTTTCTTCTACCTCGTTTGAAGTGAATGGGCGTGTGGGATCAATAAAGGTTTATCTTATCTTATCTTATCTTATCTTATCTTATCTTATCTTCCCCACAGTGACTCAGTCCAGAACTGATGGAAATCCTTGTCTGATCCACTGAAACCCAAATCCATAAATATAGATTTATTCTCTTTAAATCCAGTCAGGAGTCGTCATGAAGAACAAGCAGATTGGATTTATATGTAACAATATCATCATGATAACAAAATACTACAGTCTATACATAAATGTTGTTTCACTAAATCTCCTCCCAATTTGTAAAGCACTAAAAATGATTTTTTTTTGTCAAAACAAATGTAAAAAAAAATGTCAAAAGCCTATGCCAGGAAACTCTATATACTTATGTCTGAATATAATTTATTCTGGCGTCTTTATTGTCTCAACTTTCTCAATTGTATTTTTCTTTCATGCTATCTTATTTCAACGTTTCAATCCTGTTTGCTTTGTTTTTGTGGTTAGGAAATGAGTATTTATCGTCCGTGTGTTCTAAATAAAATTAATTTTAAAAGATCCTAGTGTAAGTGCAGTGGGATTCACCGCACCATGGTTGTCTTTTCCTAAGTCCTTCACATCTTTCCTTGACCTCATGGCGTTTTCTATCGAAGCGAAGGAAAAGTGGTTAGAGAAGAAGATTATTTTGCCTTTTCAACCGCAGCCCCCGAGTTCAACTGTCACATCCATGATACTGCTGCTCCACTGGCTTGTGTGACTTGAGTCGACCTCTCAGTAAGAGTTACATTCATCTGTTTTTCTGATCCTGGTGTTTATTCGCAATATTCCAGATAAATCCCGTCCTTTTATTCCCTTCAAAAACTATAGTTTGAGATTGTTTTATTACAAATATCAATGTGATTGTGAACAGCATTTTCACCTGTAATGATGTTGACTGTAAACAGAGAGAAACTGTTAATACCCTGTGAAAGTGAGCCGGACATGAGAAGCATGCCGAAGCCTGCAGGTAAAGGGCTAATCCGTTAGCTTGAGGCACTGTGAGCACAAATGCTCAACGCGTAAGAATCATGTGCACACACTCTTTGCAGTGAATAAGTCCCAGTGAGGAACTCACAGCTCCTTCGTCCACAGCACTGTGGAGTGGGTCTCTAGATCCAGCCGAAGCCTTTGAAGGGATTAAGGCACATTAGCCTCTTGACAAACCCATCTCATTGCTGTGGAAACACACTGTTTGGGTTTACATACATTTGACCCTTGCACCTGAGATCACACAACAGAGGGGATTGAAGTGTTTGACCCCCCAAATCCACTCCGTACAATGTGAGGATCCACTTGATGGACAGAGAGCACATCCACATGATCACACATCTGGATTATCAAACCACACATACAGTGCACCTGGTGTTTCACACACAAGAACAGGACTAGTGGTGTATGAAGTATGCAGTGTGAATGCTGTAGGTGTGTGTGGTTGGGTGGTCAATTGTATGCCATTTACACTTGGCATTAAAGGAGCTGTTTGTAAGTTTTGCTAATGCTATATAGCCAACATTAGTATCAACAGCTGTTTACTTACGAGTCTAGAAGAAACACTGTGAGTTCAGCATCAAACCTCATTCCTTTACTCACCAACAGCTGTCTCCAGAGGTGGAAAGCAACCCTCTTGTTTTGCTTCTATTTCTATTACTTCTTTTCCTCTACCTAAGATAGCATGCTAACCAGCTAGCTCCAGTCCAGGTCAGCCCTTCTCGTCACTTCCTGATACCAAGAAGGCTGCCCTCAAGAAGTAGCCCTGCTCAGAGGATTTATTATATCCTCTTGCATTGTAAACACAACGACGGCTGAAGCTTTTGCCAAGACTGGTAAGTAAACAGCTGTTAATGCTAACGCTGGCTACGTAGCAATAGCAAAACTTAGAAATAGCCCCTTTAAGATGCACCTGTATCTGAATACGTTATGTGGATAAGGTAAAACACATATTTGACCAATACGTCTCGTTCAGTTTCTGCATTAATACATGGCATTTGTACGACTTGAGATGACAGAAAATACCTTCCTAGTGGGTACGTTTGGGCTACGTACCTACTATGTGTCCAACATGCAACTGTGATTTAGTATTTGTGCGGGGTGGATCAATTTGTGCTGGTATTTTTGAACTATGGTGTATAAAAGCTTTTTTCTTCAGCCTAAATCATACAAGGTAGTTTAAGTGGGGAATTGTTTTGCCTAGGCCTATGTAGGGTTTCCCCACAGAAACTGATGAAGCGCTAGCACCCAATTTTAAACAGCTAAAGATGTGCAAAATGGATGTATTGGTCCAATCCACGTTCTATAGCAGAATGCATTTGAACTGGAATGCGATTGGAGGTGGTCAGGCCCACATTGTGATTGGATCTCAGCCTGTCCGAACACTGAGATCACATTCTGATGAAAAAAATCCACCCTGCAAGTTGACTTCACCTCTCCCAGGTAGTTTAAGCTGCCTGGAACAAGCTACAGGTAGCAGCAGTAGAGATCTGGCTCCAGGCTGATCAGAAACATAACAATGACATATCTGAACGTATAAGTGAAGAAGGTTAATCTGAACAGACACCGCAAGCAGTTCAGACAGAGTATAAATCACATTTACAACTTAAGCAGGAGAGGTATACAGAGACATGCAGTAGTAAGGCCGCGTGTGAATTTGTGTTTGCGTGTTGGTGTACCAGCCACACATGTCCCTGGGTGTCCACTCTGAGTCCAAGCCGTGGCCCTCCCTGCTGGCCATTAATGGCATATATTAGATCATATGCTGTCCATTAACTAATATGCCAGAGCCTCATAAGAGGAATGGCCAGGGTGCGTACAGACATTGCACACCCATGCAGGAGATGTGGCCCCCAGGGACCCCTTACGGTTGAATTAATCATAGAGTCTGGGGATGGGGGCGGTCTCCACAACAAGAAAACCTCACACCAGTTTTTCTGGGTGGAGTATTTTGTTAAATACAATCAGTAGTTAGAATAATTTGAAGACAAAATTTCAGTGAAAAATTATGAATCTGGTTTGAGTCCAGCCTCAGGAAGAAAACATAAACCCTGTCAGTGTACTGCCTGAACAACATTAGCATTTACAGCAGCAGAAAAGGAAAAGGGAGCTCCCCCGGACACCATGATATAGTTCGCACACTGGTGTGAAGTAAAATGCTTAAAGAGCATATCTATTGTTTAAAATCTAAGTTGACTGCTTTCTCACTCACTGACTGCAACAAAAGGCCAAAGTAAAACCAGAACTTCTGGGTTCTGTTCCAAAAGTAAGAAAACCTCATTTAGAATCCCATCGACATTTGTAACGACGCAAATAACGAGGAAGAGCTTTCCTGTCTCATTTAAAGATACTAACTTTGTTGTTTATTCAATATTTCTGTGTATACCGCTTTTAGTTCTAGACCGTTGTGGGCTAAATGTCACGACTTAACAGGGGAGGTCAGTCCCTGCACAAGTGGAGGCGCCACTGCCATTTAAACATCTCTGTAATAACAGCAGGATACTATATGTTTTCAGACTGCGGACAGCTCCAAAGCTGGAAATTTGACTTTAGCAGAAAGTGTTTGTGAATATCATGAATGTGAAACTCACTTATGATGATGTAAGTACTCACGCTCACTCAATTTTGATGGGAGCTGTAGTTTTTTGTTGCTGAAAAATAAACGTTGTTTGATTTTGTTGCTTTCATGGGAGGGACAGTAGACCCCAGAAACACTCTCGGTTTCTCATACTGAAGGAGAAGATTGCATTAGTTACAGAAACTAGAGGAACCTCATAGGTCAATAGGAAGATTTCCTTCTATTTTCTTAACAAATTTCATGAACAGAAAACAAGTTGCAGGGTGTAACGCTTGCAGGAGGTGATACAAGAGCAAAATATGATCTATTGATGGTGTAACCAGACATTTCTTGGTCAGCAGTATTCTGCTCTCTTCGCAGTACATGTGCCTCCTAAAAGACCGTCACACCTGTCCCACTGTAAACAATGGCAGGTGGGAACCAAAAGTGCTCCACACTAAAGGTAACTTAAATGCTACACCTACAAAATATAGATATATATATAATAAAGTGCCACGACTGATAATGAAATTATTATAAAATAGACTATATTAAGTAATATTTATTATTTTATAATAAACTCAAGTAATATTGCACCACCTTATAAACAACATAAATTCATACGTTAAACTTAGAATTGAAATAACCCAAATGTGTACAATGGTATAATGATAACA